CCCTCCGGTCAAGAAGTTCAAAATTAGGGACGGCGGCAGATAAACTTAGCTTTATCATGAATAACAAAGAAGAAATAATCAAGGTCGAGTCTTTGATGGTTTGTACTACTTGTCCGAAGTTTATTTTGTTTTATGAATTTCGCGTAAAGCTACAAGAGGGTTATCTGCACTAGCCGGCCCTAATTTAGCAGTGTAAGACAGCTAGTCATCACCACCCACCACCAACTATTAGGCTACTCTTTTACCAACAAATAGTGGGATTGACCGTAACATTATAACGCCCCCACGGCTGAATGGACGAGCATCTTTAGTGGGACGGGGATTCGAACCCGCGACCCTCAGAGTGCGAGTTGAGCGCCTTAACCACCTGGCCATGGCGGGCCTTTATCTGAAGTATGCAGGCTGTAAAGATAAAGAAACCGAAATATGTAATGCAGATTACGACTGCGTATTGTAACAGATTTAACATAATAGAACAAAGCGGCAATAGGCAGATTTGATAATGCAGACGCAACGAAGAGTTAAAAGTAACCGATTAATCAGAAAAGGCTGAAAGATAGATAAACTGAGATAGAAGTAGAAATCCTACGTACAGAGCCATGACATAAAGTCCACAAAACTTGTTACTTCTATAAACAAAATTTAACTGAAACATTAGATATTTCTTTGTGGTGGGGGATGGGGAGTTGTTCGCCATACTTAAAAGACATAAAAGAATTGAAGAAATAAGCATCAAACTATATAAAATTCAAATACTGTACAAATGAAGACGCTGTATGCGATAGAGATTGATCGTTCAAATCGTTCACTATCTATACTGATATTCATGCCGTACAAAACTACATTCAAGTTAAATAACTTAAAAGGCCCGGCATGGCCAGGTGGCTAGGGCGCTCGGCTCGCAATCTACGGGTCGCGGGTTCGAATCCCCGTCACGTGTTTCCCTTTTCAGCCATGTGGGCGTTATAATGTGACGGTCAATCCCACTATTCGTTGGTGAATAAGCTGGCGGTGGGTGGTGATGACTAGATACCTTCCTTCTAGTCTTACACTGCTAAATTAGGGAAGGCTAGCGCAGATAACCCTCGTGTAGCTTTGCGGGAAATTCAAAACAAACAAACAAACAAATAACTTAAAAACGACACTTGTGTAAAAGATCTATTCACAATTAAAAGCAATACAACGTTAAAATTTTACACAATAAATAATTATTAAGAACAGGAACTTGCACTAAAAGACTCAAGATATGTTTCGGTATCTAGACACTATCTTCTGAAGACTCTACACATGTTTCGGTATTTTGACACTATCTCCTGAAGATGGTGTCATACAGACACCGAAACATATCTAGAGTCTTTAAGTGCAAGTCCCTGTTTTTAATAATTATTTATTGTGTAAGATTTTAACGTTGTATTGCTTTTAATTGTAAATATACATTCAGTTTCATGCAATATTTATAAAGACTACAAAGAGCGTAAAAGCAGATTTCAACTTATTTTTGTGTACATATGTTTGTCAGAATTAATATAAGCTGCCTTTTGAGAGCTTATCGACAGCTGTCCTTGTACAAGATCCGAAACATTATGACATTGAAGTACATTTCAAAACGGAATACTGATGAATTGGCAGCAGGCTAGGAACAAGAATCCGACACACCTAAAATGATACATTAGATATAAAGTAATACAGGACTGGCACAAAATAAGTTTGGATATAAACACATATTTGGTGGAAAAACAACAGAAAATACACAGTTTACCATTTATTACAAATGTATAAAAACATGGGCCAAACACGTTTATATATATATATACACATAAATGGAAGTGCAAGATGACTTTGAACCCACGAACTTAATTATCGCACGACCACATTAGAAACTGCCGTTAAAAGTTTGAGTTTAATTTGTTCGGTCATGGTTTAATAGAGTTGCTAATACTATCCGATTTTTAAATTTAAGAAAAAAAAACATAGTGAACCATTACATGGTGCTTATTTGTTCGATGAATTTTCTGCAAAGCTACTCGAAGGCTATTTGCGCTAGCCGTCTTTAATTTTTAAATTGTAGACTAAAGGGAAGGCAGTTAGTCAACATCAGCTACCGCAACTTCTGTGGAAGGCTACTTGCGCTAGTCGTCCTTCATTTTTAAATGGTAGACTAGAGGGAAGGCATTTAGTCAACACCAGCTACCGCAGCCTCTTGGTTTACTCTTTACTAACGAATAGAGAGATTGACCATCACATTACAACGCTCCCACGACTGAAAGAGCGAGCATGATCGATGACGGGATTCGAGTCCGCTACCCACAGATTTGAAGTCGAGTGCTTTAACCACCAGGCCCTTTACATGATGCAAGACACTGAATAGATGTTCCTCATTACTGTCCAATCTTGTATGGAGTCTACTGAAATGGTTTGTTTGTTAATAATCACAAAGCTATACAATGGGTTACTGAAATGGACAACGTGCACATTGAATGTAGCCTGTAGCTATCGTTATTGAAGAAATAGATTAATTCATTATCGTTACACAGACTGGACTTGGTATTATGTTTACCAAATAATCCAACATAAACCTCCCAATGGTAAAATAAGAATAAATAAACTTTCCTGTCTTCCGCCCCCCAGTGGCACAGCGGTATGTCTGCGGACTTACAACGCTAGAAACCGGATTTCGATACCCGTGGTGGGAAGAGCACAGATAGCCCATTGTGTAGCTTTGTGCTTAACTTCAAACAAACAAATCCTGTCTTCCAAGATCACCTTGCAGCGCCACTAATGATAGTTTTATCACCAACGTGTTACGCACGTTTCTATACACCTGGACACGGATAATTTCTCACCACTTATTCGTCGATACATTTTATGCCAGTCGTGTATATGCTTATTAATTTTTCTTATATATTTTACATCCCTTTAAGCATTTATCTGCATACCAAAGCGTTACAATGGTATTTTACAGTCTTACTTGTTTTTGTTTTTAGGGACCCTGCTGGATGAACCGATTAACTCTACGCCGAATTTTTCTGAGTGGAGCTTTTCTATTCTTAGTTCATTTAATGACGTAAGAGCAGATAACTCTTCAAATTTGTTAGCATAAAAGTTTAAGAAACCTACTAAAATACTTAAAGCATCATTGGATCAAGCATTATTGTAAATAAATCAAAAAAGTTAGTCATATATAATTTCACAGCTGACTTGAATTATAAATAATTGACCAGTGGTTCCGAAAAGTTTCGGGCTCGCGTACCATTTTTTAATTTTTTTAGATTACAAACCCAGGCCTAATTAAAAAAAATAAAAACCTAGTGACAAAAATTCAAATTTTTAACACTTACCCATTATTGCGAAGTACGCGATTGATTTTTCTAGCGCGATTGAAGAATACGTGGTACCATTTTTGTCAATTTTAAGGGAAGAAAGTACTGGCGAGTCTATGCAAGTAGAGGGTAAGTCTATAAGTGGGGAGAGTAGCATGTATATGTACGTGGAAAGATCAGAGAGGGATTCTTACACATTTTATGATTTTCTATGTTAATTGTGTCGTGTACCATCGACATTAGCTCCACGTACCACAGTCTGAGAATCCCTGACCTAGCCCATTAGATCATAATAAATACACAAAAGTGGAATGATGGACTATGATAATTTAAATTCTGCATCTTGTAAAACATTGTCATACAAATGTGCCAAATAAAAAATAATAATAGTAAAATAAACGTAAATTTGTAATTAATCAGCTCATCGAACAACTGAATTTCACCTAGTGAAGTTTATTCTGTTGTACTAGTGGTTATTAATAATTAATGGGGCATAAATACAATTTGTTTTATCGTTTTCTTTTCAGTAAAATATTGATAAATCCATTCAAAGTATGACATTTATGAAGCTTAGGTTTATGAAATTTTTGCAGTTCATTTCTGATCAAAGTAAACTATCTACATAAATCAAAACTAAAATTCAACCCAATGATTAATGTGGTTACTCTGATATGCTGTTCTAACTAGACGTATGCGAAGTCAGACTATTTTACAATAGTTTAAACTGTTCGACTCCTATCTCAAAAGGCGACGATTTCAGAATTTCATAACACACTGTCTTGTATCATGGGGTTGAGCGCCATCTAGTAAGCACATAACACATTAACTACATAAAACTGGTTTGTTTCAAAAATCACCAATATGGATTGTTTTATTACTTAATGCATAGTCTAGTTAATATTCACTTGGATTTAGTTGTCAGGGAATTATCTAACTGGTTATTTAACTTATTTTTAGTAATAATTTTAAATGATATTCTAAATAATTATTAATAATCAATAAATATATCTTATCCATTGGAAAATAAAGATTGTTGCAGAAATTCGAAATTATGAATATCTAGCTTTTGTAACAACCAATTGTTCTTGAATAAGGAAGCATGTTATACTAATACAATAATAAGTTGGCAAACAACGATTTATAAGCATAAAAAAGCGATTTTTTTTAGGGGAAACATACTACTTGTTTCATACCTGCGGAAAACAGACCAATGTTCTGTCGATTTGGTTTGTTTGTTTTTTAAGTTAAGCACAAAGCTACACAATGGGCTATTTTTGCTCTGCTCACCACGGGTATCAAAACTCGCAGTCTAGCATTGTAAGTCCGCAGACATGCCACTGGGTGGCATATTCTGTCGAAACATGCAGTATGTCCCCCCCCCAAAAAAAAAAAATTCGCTATTATGCTTATAAATCGTTGTTTTCCAACATATTATTAACCCATTTTTCTGTAGCAAAGATTCGTGGCTATACATGATCGAAGCATTATTTTATTAAGAAATACAATTTATGAAGATATACAGTTCCACACAATAAAAATATTTGCATTAAATAAAACACATTTCTATTTATTTCTAAATGGTAGATGTACTTTTCAAAAAGCTTAAATAAAAATAAAAACAGTTATAAATTCTCTGTTACTAAATATACCTTTAAAAAGTACGTTTTTTTTTATTATTTTTGCTGACACAAATAAAATCATGGCTAAAATACACAAATCAAGACGTCTGTTTTTATGGATTTTTTTCTTTTTAAATGCAAAATATTTACACCGATATTAATGAACTTCTTCAGCTTGTAATATTGAATGTTGTAGTAATATTGTCAGGTGTTGTCGTCGAAAGCATGAAATGTGAAAAGACCGACCTCGGAGGTTCTTCCAAGAGAGAACCTAAGAATAAATAAACGAGTAAAAACTTAACTATTTATTGCACTCAAAAATTTAGTATTACTATGAAGAATTTAACAAAGTAATATACAATTATCTTATCAATCTTACAGTTCAACATTTGCTGATTTTTCTCACAAATTGACTATAATACTTGACAAAATATAACGACTTTGAGTTAGTGTCAATTGTTTTTATGGCTGTTTTTGGAAGGTATCTTCTTTTGTGCCCAACTATAACACAAGTTCTGTCTCACTGAAAAAGTTGAACAACAAAGTTTAATATGTTATACTTCGGTGTTAATTCGTCATTCTAATTTGTTAACTCTTTTTATCCAAGTAATGTAATTTTGTTAACTCCTTTTACCCAAGTAATATAATTTTGTTAACTCCTTTTACCCAAGTAATATAATTTTGTTAACTCCTTTTACCCAA